CAACAGCTGATGGGTAGATATCTGAGACTGTGAACTGCGTGTTCCTGAGTTCTGTGGACATAGGTGATTTTTGAAGCTTTTGACTATTAGTCCCCTATGTACCTATATGATTTTTTTTACCTAAGACTTGATTCAAAGTCTACTACTGCCTGTCAGACTCCCATTGATTATAGCAGTCTTTGGATTGGACCCACAATGAAGAAATATTGATTTAAACACCACTTCTCCATATGACAATCCAGGAGGGTTGACTTAAATATTTCTTTTGTTTAAATCCAAGATCTTTATGTACATGTTAGTTTTCAACACATACACTATTTAAACATAAGGTTTTTGAAAATCATATCCTGTTTTTGGAATTCTGGAGTCTGCATAAACTCTGGATAATGCTAGAGACACAAAGCTATGCAAGGAATCCAGCATGGAAAATATTGCTGTCTCACCTTAGAACTTGATATATCAGTACAAAAAGAAAACAATTTTCAGGTTTAAAAAATGTGTTTTTTGCAATACACTAAAAAGCAGGATATTTTGGTGCTTCTTGCAGGTAGCAAAGTTTAGGTGTTGTAGAAGTAAGTAGAGGGTTTTGACTGCCTTTGCAATTCTCCCAAAGTGTGCATGTTGAGTCGATGCAAGTCCTGTCTCAAATGCAGATTGTTTCATCTGCTGCTATTACTTTGAACTGAAGCATCATTCTGTTAGAAAGACATGCAAGCTCCATATAGAAAACTTGACAATGATCATGGAGATGCACTGAAGCAAACTGAATTAGTTGCTGGGTTTATTTTTTGTTTCATCAGTGTGGCAGAAACAGCAGTGAAAAAGCTTTCAATTCATATGAACTGTCCTCCCAACTACCAAAGTCACTTTCATATTAGCAGTAGACTTTATCTGTGTGTGCTGGAGTCTGCTGCCAGGAAGATGAGTGGATGCTGGCCCTTTGCCTTCTACTTCTAGGAAAGTGACATGGACAAATTGGGAGGGGGGGCTAAAACAATGCAGTGCAAAATGAGTCTGGACGGAAGTCTTAGCCAGTGGTAGTGAACCTGCCAGGTGCTGACATAATCAATTTTTATTTCACTTAACAAACATTGAAAAGTAATCCAATTTTATTATTAGGAGGCTTGTCTTTCTATTCCAAACACTGATTGGGAGTCACCATCCTTGAAATAACAGTTCTCCTCTCTGCCTAGTTTGTGCTTTGTCTGGGCTCTTCCTATCGGGCTAATTATGTCTCTGTATTAGGCAGTAGTCAGACTCTAGTCTGAATTCTGACTTTACTCATAAACAAAACCATCTAGTAAGTAGAAGATCGCTGAGACCACATGCATGCAAAGGCATAGAAATATAAAACTCTTATCTTAGGTTTTCCCAAATCATTTCCCAGCAATTTCAAACATTGCCTGTTGTGCACCTCTGGGCTGCTGTACATTCTGTGTCATTAGGGGTAGGGACAGACATTCAAAAAGCCTGAGCCTGAATCACTTTGTAACTGCACAGGCATCACAGACATGCAGGCACATGTCTGCAGTGGCTCAGGCTAGAAGCTGGGGGGAGCTAGAACAGCCCTCCCTTCCCTTTGACAGTACTGAGCTGAGGGTGGGGGGTGTGGCCAGGTGCCCGGCATGCTCTGATTATCCCAGCAGGGACTTGTTAACAGTGTTTATCACCCCATTAAGAAAACAACAGAGGGACATTACCAGCTACCTGTTGATTCTGCCTGTTGACTCAGCATGGACCTTAGGCAGCACGTCGTCTGCTAGCTAATACACAGATGCCTGTCATCAAGGAGACTGTACTGGAGCTGCAGCCAGAGAGCAGAGGGGATGGACCAGTTGTGCTGTGGAGCAGAGAGCCCCACCCAGCCCAGAGATCATGTCAGTTAAGTCTGATATTCAACCAGGTTTATCTCAAACTGGTTTCAGCCATTCTCAAACTGGCTTATGTGGACTGAATGTCTGTTAAAGGTTTAAACCAGTTTCTGATGACTTAAGCCATTTTATGTGTAATATCTGTCCCTAGCCTAGTTGCCCTTAGAAAGCTATGTGCAGAACTGTCCAAATGGTGGCCCGTGGGTTGCATGCAGCCTGAGAATGGTTAAATCATGGCCCAAATGGCCAGAAATTTTATAGCAGGATGAGAGGTGGCCATATTAACCCACAGAGCCATTGTGTCAGTGGGGCTAGCGCCCAGGAGTTAATACTGTCACCCGTCACCTTGCGGGAGAATTCTGGGTTGAGATCCCCCTTTGGGGATGCCTTTTAGCAGCAGCAGGGTAAGCAGCAGTGGCATTAATCCCATGGGTGCTTGTCCCTACTGCTGAATTTCTTGGTTGAGATCCCAGTTGAGGATTCCTTTCAGAAGCATGGTCAGCAGGTGGGGGGCAGGTAATACTGCTCCTCTGCTACTACGGCTCATCAGCTTCTAGAGGCCAGTCATACAGCCCTCAGGAAACCCTGCAGTCCAGATCTGTCCTGCCAATTCAAATGAGTTGGACTGCCCTTTACTAGACCATTGTGATTTGTTCCATAGACATCCATATTAGCCACCATTCAAAATATAAATGTTTACCTCTCTGGTGGAAAAAGAGCAGTTTGTTATACTTTTTTGTAGTGATACTAGTTGATACCAGAAGTTCACAAGTTTTTCCACTGAAAAATATAATTTCCTTCAAACTGAAATTTTCTGTGGAAAAGTGTCACTTGTGATAAAAATTCATTTAAAAAATAACAGTGCCGGATTTTGGTAGAGTCCAGGGTTCCTTTTTGATTTTAATGTAATAGCTAGCCTTAAGTTCTTGTATCAAAAGGACATGTCATTTCAGAATTCCTTATATTATATTGTAGTTTCTTGCACCTGTCTTGTTACAGAGTCAAATATACAGAATATATAAAAATATACAGAGTAACATGGCATAGTAATTAGATGTATTTTTTTTAGTTTCTAGAGAAATCGTGCTTTCAGGTGGCTGAAAATTTGAGGTTCCTCGTACCCTGGAACATAAATTAGTATATTCCCCTATGTACGTACCAAAGCTTCAGAATAAAATAAATTTTCTTTTCTATTCTGTTTAGTTCAGAGGACCCGTGATCAATAAAGACAACTGAAGTGAATATGCCATATCAAGAAAACCGAAGTTTAAAGTTCTACTTCTATTGGCTTGGGAAAAATTAAGATTTGCATGCTTAATTTTCATATTGAGTAGACCTGACTTCTTGGAACTAAAAAATCTTGGTTCTTCATACTGAGTTCCAAAGAATCAAGAATATAATTTAAAAGAAAATCAATTCTTGTCAAATAAGTCTTTGACAAGAACACAGTGGAATTTCCTTTTGTACGTGATAATTCTTAACAGATTTTTGTCTAGATACTTACTGGTTAAAACCAGAATGCCCATTGTCTGCTGTTCTGTGCTATGGCAGTCATGCCTAATCTCTGGAACATTTGGTCAATAACAGTTGACGAAACACTTACAATACGAATTACTGTTTACCAATTAAAATGATTTATTTTGCTATTTTAATTTTACTTTATATTTTTAATTTTAAGAAACTCATCATTGAACCCTATTTTTAAAATAATGTAATAGAAAATTTCAAGCAGCCATTTGCAGTATGCAGGGAATAGATAAGCTTGGTGGAATGACAGTGTGATATAGATGCAACCTGTGTCAGACTAGCTGTGAGCTAAAGCTATTATCGGATCTTTTGATAACCTGTGTAAAACTAAGTAGTGCTCTCAATTAAGTTTTCTAGCAGGTAGATATCTATCAAAATACTGTCTTAGCAGGGGGCTAGGGTTGACTCAGAATGGGGGAATAAACTGTGGTACATTTTCACCCCAAGAAAAATGGGGTCATTCTAGTTTGAGGCTGATGTGTGTTAGCAAAGAAAAGTGTTTGGAAATCAGGCTGTAATCCTGCATCATCTACTCTGTAGTTGAATGTTCAGTCTCTGGGATACAGTCTCTGGGACCACAACAGAGGTATTCTAAACGCATGGAAAAGCCTTATGTTGGTACTAAGACTCCTTTATTACCCTGCAGCTGAAAGCTCCCCACTTTTCATTCTGTTTTGGTGGTTCAGTATACTTTCATTTTATTTCATGTCATTTCATCCTGTCTGCTTTTATAGTATCAGACTGGCAACTGAGTTTGAACGGCTCCTGATTTATTGTTTTCTTAGTACCTACGCATGTAGTTAGGATGAGTCAGAAACAGGTAAGCAGCTGAGCAACAGAGGATTTGGGGGGGGGGGTTGCTTTTTTGCATAGGTATCTGTGATTCTCAGAGTGC